TACACGTCCCTTCATTCTTCCTTTCTTGATAAGCAAATACGTGAGACGCACATGAGTCAGAAAGAAACTATTCATACCCTGAGACTTTTTTTGTGCTAAAATTGGTGCTTTGCTCTACAAAAGACGTGACCTGGTTTGTTTTTAAAAGCGACTGCAACTAGCGGAAATATACAGACCTTGATTTGCGAGTTATACGATGCCTATTTTATCACAGGACCATTTTATTAATAAAACCATATCGGGAATTGTTTTGAAATTTTGATAACAGATTAAAATTAAGATTTAAGATTTTGATAACAGATTAAAGACCAATTTAAGATTTTGATAACAGATTAAAATTGCAAATGTGAGTTAACTTTTTAACAAAAAGCTAAACATTTAGATCATTATTTTGCTTAAAAGTTTTCCTTGCTGTTTCAGATTAATAGATCATATTATTTGTCAGTAACAATCTAGTCTCGATTCTTAACCATGTAATTTTTTATCTCTCTGATATTTATTGTCAAAAATATGTTTAGTTTTTAAAATTGTAGAAATAAAGTTTTTTTTTTTTGGTACTTTATAATACATTAAAATACATAAACCTAAACATACTCTCGACGCTTATATACCATTCGGCTTACATACGGTATTTATTTATTATTTATTATTTTTTTGTTGTACATTAAGAAATGAAATGTATGCATCTTAAAATTTTTTGGGAAGGATTTGAAAAGAAATTTGTTCGAAGTTTTATTTATTTATTAATTTGTGTGTGTGTGCATGCCCCCTGCCCTCCCTGGACAAGGCATTACAATGAAAACATTCTGCCCAACTCACACCCAAATCTGTGCATTTCTGATGAACAGAACAAAACCCACAATCGCGTATGATTTCTACACAAAAACACATTGCGATTATCATTCAGACCAGTGATTTTCATTGATTCATATTCTTATAATTGACCCAAAAAGATGAGAGTGATCTGGTGAATGACTGTTGAATTTTGAACTTAAAAAAAAAAAACCCTCCTCGAAAATCTACTCGTGACGCATAACAAGAAGCTTTCGGACTTTTGCAACGAATGGGCGTAATAAATCCATTGGTCGAAAAGCCTATTTATATTCAAAGAAGAAACATGATAGTATGCATAGACCGTTACATAGAGTCCATATATAGAGTCCGTTTAAAATTGTGTCTCAATTGTGATACAATATTGTACTGCATTATCACTCAATTGTGATACAATATTGTACTGCATTGTCAGTCAATTGTGATACAATATTGTACTGCATTGTCACTCAATTGTGATACAATATTTTACTGCATTGTCACTCAATTGTGATACAATATTTTACTGCATTGTCACTCAATTGTGATACAATATTTTACTGCATTGTCACTCAATTGTTACAATAGTGAATAGCCTCCCCTTCTTAGTGATGCCCCATGGATAACGATGAATCTATTTGCCTTTAAATGTCTAATGATGTAAATCGAAGGATGTTTACTAAACAGCATTATACGTCTTTATTGAAACTCAATATTTAGAGGAAATTAGGAATATTTCCTATTTGTACGTTTATTTCATTCATATTCATAAAACAGATACGATTCATAAAAAAATTGTTTTATAAAACATCGTTTACTGATCCTATAAATACGCATGCTAGGTTTCTCCTTTTTTGTTATCAGGTAACAGTAATAATGAATGAAAATTGCTGTTTTTTTAAATTATTAATTTTAATATAAAGTTTACACTACATAATGAAAAAAGAAACAATTTTAATTTTGCTATTGTAAACATATCAAATATTTTATTTTCCATCTTATTAAATATCTAAAATTAATTTTGTGTTGCAACTAAATTTTTAAAAATACAACTTTACATTCCCTTAGAACATCTGCAGCTTTTAAGTATTGGTAAAAATTTACACAATATTATTTATAATTTTTTTATATGTAAATTAATTAAATTGATCAGTTTTATTTTATTCACGAAAAACCTAATGAATAGTAATCTATCGAATAATATATAATAGTATAACATAATATATAATAATATATCGAATAACTTATTGTTATTTAACGGCTATTCAACTCTATGCTAACATTTGTTGTTTATTTGCAATATTTGTTTACTAGTTAAAATTTGTGTAAATTTGTTTATATTTCCTGAAAACAATCATTTATAATTTACAATTATAATATTATAATATTTATAATTTTTTTTGTATTTAAATTAATTAAATTGATCAATTTTGTTTCATTCACGAAAAATATATAATATAGCGAATAATCTGTAATACTATAACATAATATATAATAATACAATATAATATATAGTAATATAATAAAATATAATATATAATAATATATCTAATAAATTATTGTTATTCAACTATTATATTCTAATAAACATTTGTGTAAAGTTGTCTATAATTCATGAAAATAATCTACTCTCGAATCTACACATCATAAGCTATTATTACACATATTAAAGGTATTTGTAAACGAAGTTTATTAACCCGGAAATTACAAATATTCTTTTATTGATACTCATTCTCATTATTTTCATGTTATTTGCATTTGATTTTTTTTCCTACTTCCTAGAGCGAGCAGTTATGACTATTTATTTCAGTCAGAATTTTTGAAACATATTTTGCGAGTAAGTTTTACTGACGTCAATACAGAAACCATTTTGCCCGATGTTGAATTACTTCTTGAAAGTTGCATGGCGCGAATTCAATTTTTAAGCATAATATTTTCATCTCCTTTCAAGATAATTTTTTTTTTTTTTTGAAAAATGGAAGCTATTCATGAATTGTTAAACGTGACTTCAAGTTAAGATGGTTTGAATTTTGCATTTAAAGTTTTGTTTTTTGTTTGAAGTGCATGAAAATCTATGTATGAATTTGGCTTGTTCAAACTCGCAAAATATTTCAATGGTGTTAAGAGGTTTTCTTGAAAACATGAGATACTATTTTTAATTTTAATTGATTATTATAACTATTTTTAACTTAAATTGGTAATTACATTTAACGCGAAACACTCCTCATTTATTTTTTAGAGAAAATCTTAACAGAATACTTAAAAATAATATACAGTCAAAGTGGCATCGTTTTAGCAACAAACTCGACAATTTTTCTATTAAATTCATTAGACATTTCTGAAATTTATATATTTAGTATAAAAAAATAGAAATTTATATATTTAATATAAAAAATTGAAATTTATATTCTTAATATAATAAAATGGAAATTTATAAATTTAATATATTACACTTAACAATATATAGGCAAAGTGCCATCCTTTTAAAGACAGACTAGACAATTTTTTATTAAGTTCATTGGACATTTTGGAAATTTATAAATTTAATATATGACACTTAACATTATACATACAAAGTGATAACTTGATAATTTTTGTATTAAATTCATGGGACATGCTGGAAATTTACATATTTAATAAAATAATTGGTAATTTATAAATTTAATACATTACGCTTAACATTATACAGGCAAAGTGATAACTTGGCAATTTTTGTATTAAATTCATGGGACATGCTGGAAATTTATATATTTAATCAAATAATTATTAATTTATAAATTTAATATATTACACTTAACATTATACAGGTAAAGTGATAACTTGATAATTTTTGTATTAAATTCATGGGACATTCCGGAAAATTTATATATTTAAAAAGAAATGGAAATTTATATATTTAATAAAAGAATTGGAAATTCATATATTTAATACATTACACTTAACATTATACAGGCAAAGTCATAACTTGATAATTTTTGTATTAAATTCATGGGACATTCCGGGAAATTTATATATTTATTAAAAGAAATGGAAATTTATATATTTAATACACATAGTATTAGCGGCTTAGAGAACATTCGAACGACATTTATTGTTAGAATTTTCTTACGTCTTGATGAAGTTAATAATACTAAATAAAATTTAGTATTATGAATTTCATCACGATTTTTAAAAAAATGTATAATAGAAAGGTAGATAATGCAATTTAGTACAATTTCGTATTTCTATCCTATTTTCGATTTATTATTTTCTATTTTTTAATATGTAGTAATATTTGTTATTTTCTGGAACAATTTAATATACTTGTGCAGTGTTAAAATTGTTATATTATTTCGTATGATCAATTCGTTACTCAGTAATAAATTGGGCTTACAGAACACCTCATGGGATTCCCATTCCTCACTGCAGGACACTGATAATTAGATACAACACAGCATCATTAAAGCATATTGTTAAAATTTCATTAGATTATGAAAATTAGTATAGCAGTTATAACTGTTATTGTGTCAGTGTAGCAAAATATGCACTTTTAAGATATTAATTTAAAGTTTTGAATTCAGTACTCTAATAGTTCGCGATGAAACGGCAATGTCTCTATTTCGAATGACTTTAAAAAAATAATTAAAAAAATAATAAATAAAAAAATATATAAAAAAAAAAAAAAAAAAAAGATCTTAATATGAAAACAATAAAAAAAAAAAAAAAAAAACAATTTTTTTTTTTTCATGAAAATCGTAATTTCAACCTGGTCAGTTACTTTATGAAGAAACACACAATGGTGATATAACATTTCTTAACTGTGCACAAATATATATTGAAACACGTCAAAATAATAAATACTATTACTTATTAAATAAATATACAGATATTAACTGAATTGTATGTATGCGTTACATTACGCGTAATAGTGTTGTTGTTGTTTCTTATCCCACTTGGCTGGCCAAGCCCACGAGCCCATACGTACTCATGATTGAAGGGAGGGAAGCAGCTTCTGTTGTGATGGAGCACCCGTAGGTAGAAGTCTGACTTTGGCTCCGTGACGCTCTTACAGTCATAGGAGACCGGGACCTACGGCTTAAAGTGGATTCCGAACCACTACAAACATCCATGGCACCGCTGGGATTCGAACCCGAAACCTGTGGCACCGAGCACCAGACACTCGGCCATTCAGGTCCCAAATGTGTGAATGCTAACGGCACGCGGTGCTCCCAGGTGGTCACCCACCTAAGTACTGACCACGCCCAATGATGCTTGACTTCGGTGACGCTTAATAGTAACTCATACATTACATTAGTCACATTTGTTATTAATAATTGTGATACTAAATATTGCTTATATTATATTAATACCTAATTTAAAGTAATACTACATATAAAGTGGACAACTGCTTCTTGCATGAGAAAAAAAAACTAGTTTCCCCCAAAAATGAACGCCCACCGAACATGGAAAAGAGGCCGAATCCGTTCCTTATTGAACTGCCCACATGCGAATCCAGCAATAATTAAGTCACGTTGGACTGCCCGAGCAATTACCGGGCCGAAACATCTTCCCCCTGAAGGCATCGCAATTACTCGATCGGGGTTTCCATGCTCGATGCAAGTGATAGTGTGCAGCATTCCGCACTGGAGAGGACCGACGTCTGTTTGTCCGCAAATAAAACGGGGATAACCTCCCAGGCATCGGCGGAGTGCGGTGTAAAATTTACTAAATATGTTTACTGCGGATTTGAAAGTTAAGTGCTGCAGTCAATAAACCCTGAAGTGAACTGTTAATATACCTTCCTTGACAATTCACATAAATTTATCGAATATTTCCATTTTGAACTTCGTTAAATTAAATTAGGTTAAATACAATAGACATTTGATGTTTGGTGCAATAGATCTTTTTTTGTATACAATTGATCTTTGTATAAAATAAACCTCCTTATTACATTGCGTGCGAGGTAAAATCGTGTTCATCCAAGTTAATTTTCCATTAAAGAAATATATAAAGTTCAAAATTAAGAAAGTATTTAGTTTCAGTATTGTTAAATGACATTAGTTTGTATGCAATAGACCTTTGATCTTACTTCATTATTACATTGTACGCAAGTAAAATCGATTTAATCAAAGTTAATTGTTTGTTACAAATGGACTCTAGTTCAAATTAAGAAAGTACGGAGTTTTCCCGCATAACAAAGGGGTATGGTATAAAAAATTGCTAAATATATATTTACTGCGGATTTAAAAGTTAAGTGCAGCAGGAAATAATTGCTGAAGCGAACTGTTAATATACGCTTCTTGACAATTCACATAGATTTATTGATCATTTTAAATTTAAAGCGTGCTAAATAAAATAAGTTCGGGTACAAAAGAACGTTTGGTCATTATTACATTGCGTGTGATGCAAAATTGCGTTCATCAAAGTTAGTTTTTCTGTTAAAAAATGAGACTCAAAAAAAAAAAACAACTTTTTAAAGTTTAAATTAAGAATGTACCCCGGTTATTAGCAGTGCGGTATAAAATTGCTAAATATATTGACTGGGCGGATTTTAAAGTTAATTTTTGCAGTAAATAAGAAATAAATTTGAAAATAAGTAAGAAATAAGTTTGTATATAATAGACCTTTGATGTTACGTCATTACTACAATGATTGCGAAGTAAAAACGCGTTTTATCAAAGTTATTTTTCGATTAAAAAATGGGTTTTATTATACTGAAATTTAAAAAATACCAATTTTTTTTTCTTTGGTATTACAATGAAGTGTGGTTTAAAATTGCTAAATATAATATTGACACATACATTATGTGATACCAAATATTACATATTTCGCATTCATACTATATCAATACATAATTTACAGTAATACTACATATAAAGTGGACAACTGTGTCTTCTGTGAGTAAAAAAAAAACTAGTTTCCCTCTAAAAGGAACGACAACCCAATACCGAAAAGAAGCCACAATCCGTCCCTTAACGGAACTATCCAAATGCGAATCCAGCAATAATTACGTTTTGTGAGTCGCGTTGGACTGGCTGAGCAATTACCGGGCCGAAACATCTCCCCTGAATGAATCGCAAATACTCGGATAGGGGTTTCCATGCTCGACGCAAACAACCGGCAGTCTGTTTGCCCGCAAATAAAAACGGGGCTGACCTCTCAGACATCGGCGGAGTGCGGTGTAAAATTACTAAATGTATTTACTGGTGCGGATTTGAAAGTTAAGTGCTGCAGTCAATATTCCCGAAGCGAACTGTTAATATACGTTTAATGGGAATTCACATAGATTTATCGAACATTTTCAGTTTCAAATTTGTTAAAGGAAATAAGGTTGACTATGGCAGACCTATGATGGTTGGTACAATAGATCTTTTTAGTAGTATACAATTGAACTTTTTAGACAAGAGACCTCATTATTACATTGCTTGAGAGATAAAATCGTGTTCATCAAAGTTAATTTTCTATTAAAGAAATGGGTTATATAAAGTTCAAATTAAGAAAGTATTCAGTTTCAATTTTGTTAAATGAAATATACAATAGACATTTGATGTTAAGTCATTATTACATTGCGTGCTAGGTAAAATCTCATTCATCAAAGTTAATTTTCTATTAAAAAAATAGGTTACATAAAGTTCAAAAATAAGAAAGTAACGAGTCTTTCCCGAACTATATTTACAGCGGATTTGAATGGTAAGTGCTGCAGTAAATAATTCTTGAAGTGAACTGTTAATATGCGTCGTTTCTCGACAATTCACATAGATTTAACGAGCATTTCCATTTTGCTGTAGTGCAGTTATGACGCTATTTAACAGTTAAACAGTGCAGGAAAGACTACACCTATTCAGGAATTCAATTTAAAGTTTTGAATGTATGAATTCAGTACTCTAATAGGTCGTGTAATAATAAAACAGCTGTATTTCGATTTCGAATGACAATAAATAAACACATAAACACACATGAAAATTGTTTTTCGAAATCCGATTTTTAAAAATAAAAAAATAAAAGAAAACTCGATTTTTTCATGAAAATTGTTATTTTAACGTGTTCGGTATCGTTAATCGTTATTTTAACGCTTTAACGTTATTTTAACGTGTACTTTAAGAAGAAACGCATAATAATACTACAACAGTTTTTAATTCTGCACAAATATAGTGAAAGTGTCAGAAAAATAAATATTTCTACATATTTACAATTGTACTATACACGCATTTAATTCAATTGAATGTATGTATTACATTATTGTGTATTAATGTTTGTGTTACTTATTAGTAACACATACATTACATTAGTCATATTTGTTATTAAAAAAAAATGATAACAAATGCTGCGTATTTCTCATTCATATTATGTTAATACCTAATTTAGAGTAATACCACACATAAAGGGGGGCAAATATTTCTTTTGCGAGAAAAACTAGTTTTCCCACAAAAGAAAGGAACGACAACCAAACATGGAAAAGAAGCCGCAATCCGTTCCTTAATGGAACTGTCCACATGCAAATCCTGTAGTAATTAAGTTAGGTGAGTCATGCTGGACTGTTCGAGCAATTACCGGTCCGAAACATCTCCCCTAAACGCATCGCAAATACTCGGATCAAGGTTTCCATGCTCGACGCAAATGATACTGTGCAACATTCCACAGTGGACCGGCCGTCTAATTGTCCGCAAATAGAACGGGGATAATCTCCCAAGCATCGGCGGAGTGCGGTGTAAAATTACTAAATATATTTACTGCGGATTTCAAAGTTAAAATGCTGCAATAAATAACATATAAATTTGAAAGAAGCAAGAAATATATTTGTATGTAATAGAACTTTGATGTTACGTCATTATTACAATGATTGAAGTAAAATCGCGTTTATCAAAGTTATTTTTCTATTAAAAATGGGTCATATTATATTGAAATTTAAAAAAAAAATATATTTGAGATTTTCCTTGCTATTACAATGCAGTGTGGTCTAAAAGTGCTGAATATATTTACTGCGGATTTGAAAGCTAAGTGTTTCAGGCAATAATTCCTGAAGTGAACAGTTAATATACGTCTCTTGACAATTCACATAGATTTATTGACAATTTCCATTTTGAACTATCTTAAATAAAGTAAGTTTGTATAAGCAAACTTTGAGACCTTTGATGTTATGTCATTATTATTATACATTGCGTGCGAGGTAAAATTGGACTATCAAAGCTAATTTTCTATTAAAGAATTGGGTTATATAAAGTTCAAATTAAGAGAGTACCGAGTTTTCCTCTGGTATTACAACGAAGTGTTGTATAAAATTGTTAATGATATTTACTGCGGATTTTAAAATTAAGTGCTGTATTGCAGTTATGACATTGTTTAACATTTAAGCACCTTAGCAAAAAATACGCCTTTTCAGGACTTCAATTTGAAGTTTTGAATGTATGAAGGCAATGCCCTAATAGGTTAGAGGTTACAGGTTCAATACCCTAATAGCTTATTAAAACAGTTATACCGATTTCGAATGACTATAAATATACACATAAACACAAGAAAATTGTTTTCGAAATCCGATTTTTAAAATGAAAAACAATAAAAAAATAAAAAAAACCTCGATTTTTTCATGAAAATCGTTATTTTAACGTGCTTTATTATCGTTAATCGTTACTTTTAAATTCGTTATATTTAATCGTTTTTTTAAATCTTTAACGTTACTTTAGCGTGAACTTTAAGAAGAAACGCATAATACTACTACAAAATTTTTTAATTGTGCACAAATATACTGAAAGTGTCAGAATAAATAATATTTCTACATATTAATAATTGTAATTATACAGACGCTTTAACTCAATTGCATGTTTGTATTACATTACTCTTAATAGTAACACATACATCACATTAGTCATATTTGCTATTAATAATAGTGTTACCAAATATTGCACATTTCACATTCATATTATATTAATACCTAATTTACAATAATACTACATATAAAGGAAACAACTGCTTTTTGTGTGAGGGAACTAAAAACTAGTTTCCCAAGTAAAAAAAAGGATAAAAACCAAACAACGAAAAGAGGCCGGAATCCGTTCCTTAGTGGAACTGTCCACATGCAAATAAAGTAATAATTAAGCGAATCCGAAGCATCTTCGCAAATAATGCTGGACGCAAATGATACTGTACAGCATTCCACACTGGCCGTGGACCGGTCGTCTGTTTGTCCGCAAATAAACCTTCAGGCATCGGCGAAGTGCGGTGTAAAATTACTAAATGTATTTACTGCGTCGGACTAAGTGCTGCAGTGAATAATTCCTGAAGCAATT